GGGGGGGGGGGGGGGGGGGGGGGGGGGTGTATCGGAGGGGGTGACATTGGGCAAGGGGGGGGAAACCCTTTGTTAATGTTTCTTCCGACGAAACATCTCACTCCTGCGGCGATAGTACTAGGGAAGGGTTTGGTTGGTTGTTCGTTTCTTCTTCCTCGATAGGCAGCATGCTTCGCGCTGTATGTTTAGTCGTGGAACTCGTGGTGTAGAGTGTCGACTGGAAACGATACGATACACTTTCCACTTTTTCGCTTCCTTCACCTCGCGGTGGCGGTGATATCCGCCTTGATCCCGCACGCCAAGAAGTACAACAGCTCCAAGGGGCGATCGTCTACCAGAGACACTCCGATCCCCGCCATCTGGAGCATGTACACGCTCGTCACGCTCGATGCGTCAGCGGCGGCGGCGGCGGCCGCCGCGAGCGTTCCAGCGCCCTCCGACTCCGGTCCGCCCCCGCTGCTCTCCCTTCCCTTCTTACCCAAAGCCGCCGCCACAGCCCCGTCATCGTCCTCCACTTCCTCCCCGGCCTCTTCCACAAGCTCGAGCACCTTCGTGGGGCCGTCGGCGCGGACCCTAACGTTGACGTAAACCTTTGCGCGCAGGCGAGACATGATGGCCTCCCCGCCCTCCAATCTGGGGGCAGAAACGTCTCCGCCGCCCCCCGTCTCCGCAGAGCAAGCTTTCTCAGCTGCTTCGGCTGATGCCGTCGCCGCCGCCACCACTGTTCCTGTTCCTGCCGGCGTCGCTCGCCCGGACTTCTTGAGAGCCTCCACGCAGTCGGCATCCACGGCGTCCCTCATGGCCTCTATCCAGCGCAGAGCCGCCGGCGCGGAGTCGCAGCGGAGGTCGTGCTTTGCCCCCGCCGCAGACAACACCCGCACCATCCCGGTGCCGTCCGGGTCGAGATCCACGTCCCTCCCGGGGTCGCGCAAGAGGTACCTCCTCCCTGCCGCCGCAGGCGGCGGGTCCGTGGACAACATGTTTCGCATCTGCTGCGATCCCGACCGGCGCAACCCGGAACCCGTCCTGCCCAAGGCGCCCCTCTCGTGCCCGCTTCTCCCGGCCTCGACGCCGTTGCCCCGCTCTCCGCCCTCCTCCGATTCCGACGTTGGGTGCAGGCCAGACTTTGGCGAGGATAGGGCCGGGAAAGGGCTATCCTCTGGGAGCACCCCCGCCGCTGCTGCCGCCGCCGCCGCTGCCGCTGCCGACAACATTGTCCCGTCCTGGGTGCTGCTGTACCGAGAGGTACCTCCCGATGTCCTTCCGTGCCGCGAGGTACCCGGCACCCCGGCAGCGGATGCCGCTGTCCCTGTGTGTTGACGGCTCGGGCGCATCGAGGGCAGAGGGACCAGCAGTCCCAGTTCAACCAGCTGCCGGCACATCCATTCCGCCTCCGAGTAGGACACTCCCGCCGGCGTCTCATTGCTGTGGCCGGACCCGCCCATTTCCGTCAACATCGTGCTCCACTCGGCGAGAGTCATCCCCTGGTGGAGGGCCGACGTCGTCCCCGAAAATCGCCGACCGCCGGTAGTGCGTGTTCCGTCCCCGCCCCCCGACAAGCCTCCTCCTCCTGGCTGCTGCGGATCTCCTGTGCTCGGCCGGCCGCCTGCGGCGCCGAGCCCCGATGGTACGCGCGGGAGCCCACGCCCCGGCACGCCAGCGGCAGCTCCTCCGCCTTCTGCCCAGTGGAGGGACTGCGAGAGGCTGGCTCTGCGGACACCGCCGTCCAGGCCCCAGGTGGCCTGGGGGCTCTCGCTTCGGCTCATGTGCTTCCACATCATGCCTCCGAGAGCGAGCGCCTCGTCCGCGCGCATGGCCGACACCGCCGCCGCCGCCCCGCTCCGCACATGGTCGTCGCCGCCCGCTGCTGCCGCGCTGGCCGACGCCTCTCCCGACCCGGGGAACGTGGCCGTGACTTTCGCGGCGGCCGCGGCGGCGGCGGCGGCAACGGTGACGGCGGTGGCGCTGATGCCGGCCATTCCCATCCCTCCGACGACGCCGGCCTCTCCGCCGCCGCTTGACACGAACTCCGGCCCGACCAGCAAGCCCACCGCGTCGTCCATCATGTTCCCCATCTTGTCCAGGATGTCCCCCTTGTCTCGCCCCCCGGCCTTCTGGCCGATCTGGGCGCGCTGAGGGCCGGCGGCCCCGCCTCGCGCCCCGCCGCCGCCCTGATCGCTAGTGCTCCGAGTGGCGCCGAGATAGATTGCGCCCCTCAGGTGCACGCAGCCCTTGTCCTTGAACAGGAACAGCACGGGACCCTTGAGAACCGCCCAGCGGCGCCTCCAGACGTCGGTCAGGGTGCCCGTCTGCCGCTGCAGCATCTCCCCCCGAAGGCGGGGGTTCTCCAGGGACGGGAGAGTCCGCGTGAGCGACACGCGCTTGTGCTTCTCGAGCTCGTCCAGGCGGTACTCGCGCTCCTCCCACTTCCCGGCCTGCTCGAACCCGACCGTGAGCACCCTGCTCTCCCCGACCGGCTGGTCCCACGTGAACGGCGACGCGGCCTGAGGCCCCAGGCCGTCCCACGGGAGCTCTCCCTTTCGCCTTCCTTCGGACGACCCGGCGCCTCCCTCTGCCGCTGCCGGCACCCTGCTCGCGTCGGACGAAGACAAGGCTTGCCGGTAGCGGATGCCGAGCGAGGTGAGGTTGTCCACGCGGTATGGGGGCCACCTCAGATCCTGGCGCTCGAACACCGCGGTAACGGAAGCGCCGACCAGCGCGAGCTTAACTCTAGTGATGTACTCCTTTCCGGGCCCATCGCCGCCGCCGCTTGTCGCTGCCCTGAGCTTCACGGCAACCTCACCGACCGTGTCGAGCTTGAGATCCCCGCTCCATATCCATTCGTCGTCGTTGTCAGACTCGGACAGGAACCGGACGTTCAGGGCGCGCCGGTCCTTCGCGAACGGCCAGTGGAAAGCCCGCCTTGCCCCCGGGGGCAAGACCCCTCTCCATCGCCCCCCGCACGACGCCTGCGTGAACTCCAGGGTCCTGGGAAGGGCGTTGATCAGCACGTACCTCGGCAGCAGGGTCAGCACCATCGTCCGCCGGAAGTCACCCTCCCCGGGCCCAACCTGAATGCCGATGTCGTACCTGGTGCGGGGGGAGGCTTCCCTGTGGGAGGAGGGCTTCTCTTGCTCCACCGAGATGCACGCCGTACCCCCCGCGGCAGTCTTGAGGCCGGCCACGTCGACGGAGGAGCACCACTCGGAGTCCTGCACGCGCGAACAGAGCTTCATCTTGTCGAGGGACTCGACGGGGCCGAACATGATTGCCGGCCCCCACTCCGCCAGCGTCGCGACCCCCTTAACCGTCTCCGAAAGACGGGCAGAGCAGCCCTTGGGCCCCGTCGCCGCTGCCCGCGCTGCTGCCCTTGAACCGACAGCGGTTGAGCCGCCGCTGCTACTGACGGACTGGATAGCAGCGAAGAAGCCTGCCGTGGCCGACGGGGTCTTGTCTCCGACCGTACCAGCGGCGGCGGTGGCGCGAGCAGAATGACGCCCGCCTGCCGGCCGTGACGAGGCAGAAGGTCGGGACCCCGCCAGAGCGTCCAGACCAGTGCCCGGCGGCAGCGCGGCGCCGACCCACTGGGACGCCTGCGCGGCGGCCGCGAGTTCCGCCCGGTGGCACATGCGCAGCCACGGCGTGCCCAGGTTGGAGACGAGCGTGGACGGGTGCACGGGCCGGTAGTCGTCGAAGATGAAGCCGAGGCGGTCCCAGCGCGCGTAGCCCGCGGAGGCCCTCGACACCCCACTCGACACCCCGAAGCTCTGCTTGAGCGCCCTCAGCTGGCCGTCCACCAGCGACCGCTTGTCCATCTCCCACGTCATGATCTCCGACAGGGCGAGGGCGTCGTCCTCGCTGGGCGCCTGCAGCGGGCAGAGGAAATACTCCGCTGGGTCGATGGGGCCCAGGCGGGCCTCCGCGGCCACAGCCAGCAGGAGCCCTTCCGCAGTCTCAGAAGCGGGCACCTCCACGTCGACCTCGTCCAGGTGGCAACACGGCAGGGCCACGGTGAGCGCGATCCTGACACCTCTCCCGCCGTGGAAACCCACGCCCCCGGGGGACGGGCCTCTCTTTCTGGGCGGGGACGCTTTTCCTCCTCCGCCGCCTGCGCCTCTCCCGGAGAAGCCGACGCCGCCAACGGGCGGGCCTTTCCCGAGTTGGGACGGCCTTGTCGGTGAGGCCAACGACGCGTAGGAAGGCGTCGGAGAAGAGGGGGCCGTATTCTTGCCGCCGCCGCTGCCGGCGTTTCCTCCTCTGAGAGCAAACGAGTCGGTAGCTGCCCTAGCCAACGATCTCGGAGGAGGGGTCACGCCTCCTCCTCTGGCTCCGTCACCCCCCTGAAAACAACGAAAAATGTTCAAGAGATTGTGGAATAAACGTTATTAACATTCGTTGCCGAACAAAGGTTTACCAGAGCAAAGACCAGCAGCGTCGGCCGGCCGGAGAAGGGTCACGAGCGACGAAATATCAATGAAGCAGCGGGCTTGAGAGTACAAATAAGGAGGGCAAAATAAAATAAACACTCCACAAAACAATCGTGAACAGCAAATGCAGCTAAACGCCGAACCCAACGTTCCTCCAGGGAAAATTAACCTCTCTCACCTTGGTGGGCGTCAGCTCCCGTGTACCCACGGACGCCGAGTAGTCGACTACGCCTACGCCGCCCCCGCCGCCCTCGGCGCCCGTCGTCTCTTGCCGACCGGGCTGCGTGATCTGCGGCATCCTGTCGCCCATGAAGGTCGAGTCGATGCCCCCGGCAAGCGAAGAGTCCCTGTGCTGGAGCACCATCTCCGTGCGGTTTACCAGCCACAGTCGGCAGAACACGCTCAGATCTCGCCCCTGTCCAATAAAACCACGGACAAACGTAAGCGCCGCAACAAATCAACCAAACCCGCGCCACACCAAAAGCCGTGGGCAGAGGGGAAGCAGTTAGGAGGGGAGCGGGATGTTTGGTGGAGCCAAAAAGCAGCGCATAGAGCGCTCCGCCGCAAGCAATTCGGCAGCCAATCTGCCAAGCAGCCACATCAAAAGGTGTAGAAAAGCAGAAGCAGACATGATAACACTTCTGCCGTTTCCTCGATCCCGCTCTATTTGGTCACCATGATGGCTCGCACTTTCCGCACACATCATCGATTCGGGGGCCACGCGCAAAAAAACACACTGCCGTCCATGCCCCTTTACGTCTTCACGCGAGCAGAGTCTGGCAGTCCCCTTCCCCAAGCGCTTTTTCAGTGTGCTCACCGAAACACTACAACGAAGCTGTCAACAGCCAAGATGCTCGCGGGTTCGTCAAGAAGAACGCACACACCCCGCCTTCCATACCTGCCGAGAAAACGCCGACTGCTGCCTATACACACAACGGCACTGCTCGGATACCCAAACTACTGCAGGCGGTGGACACCTCTTGCTTCAACGGAGGCACCAAGAACCCGCAGAGAATCCTCATCGTGCGCCCGCCTCCACACAAAAGGAGGCACCGGCTATTTATCTTTACAAAATCGACAACAACCACAGAACGATAACGACCACGACCACGACCACGACAACAACGATGGCGACACTAACACGATAGCGACAACAACAGCAACGACGTGCCTGCAGGGCCACGTGCAGGTGAAGTCCGGGGAGCTCTCGACCCTTCTTGGACGACGAAGACGACGAAGACGACGGTACCGACGACGATTCTTCCCCGGGGACAGAAACCTTCACCCCCCGGACCTCCACCGTCCTGACCTTCTCCCGCAGCGGGTGCGCCGACGTCGGCGAGTGTACCTTGATGAAGTCGCTCCAAGGGTAGTTCACGAGCAGGAACGAGGCGTACTGCTTCTGGCAGAGGTCCACCCGGTGCAGCGCTACCGACGCGCCCACGGGCAGCACCCCCTCGGCTGAGAGCAAGCCCTGTCGGTTCACGACTCGGTACAGCATCGGGGCGCAGAGCAGGTTGTGCAGGACGAGCGGGGCCCTGAGGCGCAGCGACACGGCCGGAGGATTTTCCGCAGGAGGCGCGGAGTAGGGGGGGGTGGGGACCGGCGACTTGCCGGAGCCCCCCTCGCCACCGTCCGTCTCCTCCTTCATCTCCTTGAAGACGTTCTCCAGCTTGGTGCCGCGGATCTCCCGCTTGAGGCCGAAGGTCTTCGCTCTGACGTCACCGGCTCCGGCAGGAGCAGAAGAAGAAGCTTCGGGCCCGCCGGATAGCCCGGTATCGGACCAACCTCCCTGGAAGTGGCTCGCGAAACTGGTGCCAGCGGTGCCCTTCGAGGCGAGGCGTCTCACCGGGCTGTGGCCTCCCACGCCGATGATCTCCTTGAGCGCCACCGCCCGTTTCCTCCTCTTCTCCGCCTCTTCCACCGCAGCACCCCCCCCGCTGCTGCTCTGCACCACCGTCTCTGCCGCTGCAGGGATAGAACCCTGGCGAGCCTGGTGGAAATCCTCCTCCTCCTCGTCTTCATCGTCGTCGTCGTCGTCGTCATCGTCGTCGTCGTCGTCGTCGTCGTCGTCGCTGAAGGTGTCGCCGTCGTCACTCAGTACGAGGTCGTCTCCCCCCCGCCGCCGGGGGGAGGGGGTGTCGGGCACCGGCGACGACACCGCTGTGGGCGCGCCGAGCGGGTGCCATGGCTGCAGCGCGCTTTTCTCGAAGACCGGTGTCGGGGGCGTCATTCCGTTCCCATCTCCTTCCAGGCTGCTGCCAGATTCATCTCCCTCGGAGGTGCCGCTGACATCGACGACGCCGCTGCCGGCGCGGGCGTGGTGCGGGCTTGCGGTGGTGCTCCCCGGGAGAGCTGCGCCGTAGCCGGTCAGTGACGTCGACGAGGACTGCCGGAGTCTGTGGGGCCGGCAAGAAACGGGGACAAGATCATCACACCAGAAGCAAAAACAAGGGGGGGGGGAAACACCCAGAAATCATCACCGCTGCATGGTAATGACGGTATTACCGCAGGTACGCTTGTCGAGAGCAATAACTGGTAAATGACAACAAGCCATGCGGCGCAACACAAACAGCCCTGTTTTGAGACGGGAATAGAGAGGGAGAAGACTTGCCGCTCAGCCACGACTCTGAGCTGTGCTGAAAAAGTTCCGCTTGCGCTGCACCAACCTACCAGCCAGGAGCTCACAAGAGAGAGAGGTACATTTTGCTTCTTACCGCGAGGAGAAGGAGCTCGACGCAGACGACTTGCGCAGCGCCTCCGCCATCATCACGACGGCAGAGTGGTCTCCGCTCTCTACGCTACCGCCGCCGGCGACGCTCGAGACGGGGGCGTCGTGATTCGCCGAAACATCAGCCAAGACCCACCTAGAAATTGTAGGAGAAGCAAGAAAGGATATTCGTTGCCTGCTTCAACTTTCTGGCTAACGTGAATGCCACAAGCGACCCGAGATGGAGCACCGGGAGGTTTCCTGATACGTGAATTCCGACGTTTTCGAGCGGTCTGTGATAGTGTATCAATCCAAAATTTTGCGAAACAATCCCCCTCTTGAACAAAAAAACACACCCCGGGCGTTCTCCGGCTCTACAGGCAGCCTGTAACCACCCCATCTCTGCATCTCAAACGACTCAAAGTCAAGCTTGTCACGGCCTCCTCGACTCGTCGTCGAAGTATTGTCTACCTCTTGTCTTCTCTGTCTCTACTATGTCCTGCGCACGATGTTCGTAGTGCGTAGTGCGTGGCATTCATGGTGATTCCTCCCCTCGACCTTTCATGTGTGTGTGTTCATGTTCTTCCGTAGGTATCGACTGCGCTCACAAATGAAAAAGACCCATTCAGTCGGAGAGAAATACGCGTTCGACTTGCCATGAACTCGGCGCCACCATCGAAGAACCCTTCCCAGAACCAGTCCCCAGACCACCCGCTCCCGCGAAGCCGCGAACGCCCCTCGACGCTCCCGGTGCGGGCGCCCTAGACGCCGCGAACACCTTGTACTCTCCGCCGTCGCCCCCGCCACCGCCGCCGCTGCCCTGCCCCCCGGCCCTGCCCCCGCCGCCGCCGCCGCCGCCGGCAGACGTTGGTGCCGACTTGATCTTAGGCGCCGCGTACGCCGTCTTCTCGGCTCCGGCGAGGGACTTGACGAGGGTTGCCCAGTCGGAGGGGGCGCCCGCAGAAGCTGTGGGTCGAGCATGTATCTGGGAGGAGGGGGGTGGGGGCGGGTTGGATGCCTTGGCTGTAAGACCGATGACCAATGGGGGGGGCGTAAAGTACCAGCCGCTATTCCATTCGGGTTTTGCGAAACATATCCAGACACATGAAAGCTTTGTGCCTGGTGAATGTGTGTCCAAACCCCTTCTCTGATTGGAAGGCATTGAGATCAGTTGGGACTGGGGTTCGCACGGAAAGACAAAAAAAAAAGTAGCTACGGCGGTAGCAGACGCGTCGAAGGATCATGCATCAGCACCACCAACAAGAAAGGCCACCGGGCACAGCCATGTCTGCCGTCGTAGATAAGCTGCAGCCAGGAGCACAAGACACCGAGCCTCCGACCATTGACCACCATCACTCTAGACGTTGTAAAATCGACCAGCCCGGACCAATGGTTATGCATGCAGCGCTCCGGGTAAAGGGAAGCAAAGGGTCCACCTGAAACCCGAAACCGGCTCACTCACCTCAAGATCTGGCTCGAGCAACGACAGGGGGACATGCGCCGTGGCCCCGGCATCGAGGTCACGCTCCACCCTCGCCCCTCCCGGTCGGCCCAAGGACAATCTTTTTCACAGTCAGAAGCGTAAATCCGAGACATTCAGAACGAGGGGGGTGATGGGTTGGAACCTTGGCGTTACGGCGGGAGAGAGCGTGGGATGCTACTGCATGCCTTGTTGACAGCAGTACCGCTTCCTGCAAGGTCTTATCAGCACTCGCTCGAGTGTCAACGTTTACTTGTTGATACAAATAACGGTCTAGTAAGTCCCGTATAATACATGAAGTATAACATGAAGTGTATATGTCCATCACCTGACCGAAACACCGCACGAGTTCTCGATGGAAACCCGGGTCCGGACCGTGAGGACTCTCGTGCCGTCGTCGTCTAAGCTGACCTCCGCTACCAGGAAAAGTACCGCGGCCGGCGACTTGTCGCGCCCGCCGCCGCCGCCGCCGCCGCCGCCAAGTCCGGCCTCGAAAGTGGTTCTCGCCTTGGGGGTACTGCCGTCCATGCTGATTGTCGGGGGGGGGGGGGGCGTACTCTTATGTTTTGCCTGCCTTAGCGGTTAGACCATTGACCCCCCCTCCCCGAGAGGAC